TATGCACAGATTATGCTGGGTTTCTTTTGGTTGTTGTTTTATTCCTTTTTGTTTTGTTTTGTTTTGTTTTTTTGAGATAGCCTCACTAAATTGCCCAGGCTGATCTCAAACTTGTGATCCCCCTGCCTCAGCCTCCCAAAGTTCTGGGATTATAAGCGCTAGGTTATGCCAGTTCATATTTCAACCTTTTTCCTATTGTGTGGCCATAAATTTATATTCTCTTTCTGTGACAAAGCAGAACAATCTAAATACATAGTCACTGACTTATTCATTGCAGGCTTACTGAGGGCCTGCTCTATGCTAGGCACTATTTCAGGGACTTGGGTTGTGTCAAGAATAAAACTGGCCAGGGATTTAGCTCAGTGGTTCCGCCGCCTGGGCAAGGACCTGAATTTGATCCCCGGTACTAAAAAAAAAAAAAAAAAAAACTGGCACTGGAGATGTAGCTCAGTGGTAAAGCACTAGCCTAGCACGCATAAGACCCTTGGTTTAATCTCCAGGACTAGGATGGAGGGGGGGGGACAGGAAAGAATATTTAAAACTAATAAATAAAAGTCTTACCTTTATAGCACTTCTAATCTAGGAGGGATATACTCTGGTTTCTCTTCACATGATATAAACCTTTCACCCTTTACTAAACTAGGAGCATTAGTAGATATCTAAGTACATGCGAGGAGAAAAGTAAAGCAGCAATGGAAATAGAAAATGAATGTATGAATGTGTGTCTGTACGTTTTGATTTAGGGAAACCAGCCATGGAAGGCCACACTGAGAAGCTGACAGTTGAATCAAGATCTGAAGAGACTCAAGAAGCAAAACATTAACTGTGGGGCAAAAACCTCCCAGGCAGACGGAGTAGCTGGAGCTGGGCTAGCGTTGGGGAATCTGCTGAGGTGGGGTGCCCGGCCCGCAGGCAGAGATCAGTCACCGGGGAGGGGAAGGCAGGACAAGGACCAAGAGGCCCTACATTGTAGGGCTTTGAAGACCGCTGAAGGACTGTGGCGTTTACCATGAGGAAAACGAGGCACCATTTCTGAACAGCTCCATGGAGCGAGCTGATGCAAACGGACCTACGCATTCCTAGGACTTGTTTGAAAGAGGAACCTTTTTAAAAACATTGCTCTAAAGATCTGAGGATGGATCCAGGCCTTCGGACACCTGGGCCTGGCTGCCTCCATTGGCTGTAAAGCCCAGGGAGACCACGAGCTGGGGCTCATGCGATGGGGAAACAAGGGGTAGAGCAGGAAGAAGGTTTAGAACAGACAGAAGTAAGTTTGAGAGCCAGGAGCAGATAAACCTTGAGACTGGGTGTGCTCCCCAGAGACTATTCAGGGGAAATTCCAAGGACTGAGCCCTAGAACATTCTGACACAGTGGAGAACTAAGAAGAACCAGTAAGAACACAAAGGAAACCAAAGTATTTTCATTTTTAATAATAAACTATATCATATATAACATTGCCTCTTCATTTACATGTGAAACCAGTTGTGAATTTCAATGCTTTAACTTTGAATTTTGGGGATCCTTGTGAATCTATAGTCATTATGGAAACCAAAAATATGGGCTTCTTCTTGATGAATTTTTTTTTTAATTGGACAAGGTCTTTCTAAGAAGTCTAGGCTGACCTTGAACTCTTTCTATAGCTCCCAGCAATTGGGAGGCTGAGGCAGGAGGATCTCTGTAAATTTGAGGCCAGCCTGGGATACATAGTAAATTCAAAATCAGTCTGAAAACTTGTCTTAAAAACAAAACAAATGAACAAACCTCAAATGTTTAAACAAAAAGTATGATATGGTATTGACTTTTCTGTACAGTTTTTTTAAAAGTTCAGGTAGGCCTAAAACTCACTTCATATGTAGCCTAGGCTGGCCTCGAACTCATGGCAATCCTCTTCCCTGACTTGATGGCAATCCACTTTCCTCTGCCTTCTGAGTGCTGGGATTACAGGCATACACCACCACACTATGTAGCCTAGGCTGGCCTCAAACTCTCAGTGATCCTCTAGCTTTAGTCTCCGGACTGCTGGGACTACAGGCATGTGTCGCCATGACCAGACTATAATTTTTGATCATAAAAAATCAGGATCTTCTAGTCCTTTGACCAAAGAAAGGTGACTTGAGTAATTTAATAATGGCTGTGTATCCAGGTATCCACATGACCTCTAGTTAGTAAATACTCTGTGCTGCTTTCTTGTGAACTGTTGATCCTGAGGAATTTTCTCCACGTCCCAACTATGGAATTAAAATATGCCAACCGCTTCATAGAAACCAGATTTATGTTTCAGGAAAATGGATATTGATTGCTTTTTGAGTGTTTAGTGAGCCCCTCACCAGCTATTTTTGCCCGCTCCCTTCCCCACTCATCTAGGAATGAGTATTAAGAATTCAAAAGCATTGCATTTGGATCCAGAAGATAGCTATGGTGCTGATATAGTCTTGTGCTGCATGCTAACACGTTTTTGTTGTTGTTTTGTTTTGGTATATTTTTCTGAGACAGGATTTTGCTATGTAGCCCAGGCCGGCCTCAAACTCACAAAGGTCCTCCTGCCTCAGCCTCCCCAGTGCTTAGGATTATAGGCGTGTCCCACCATGCCCGGTTTATGCTAGCACTTTTAAAATTTCCACAAACTATCAGGAGGTAGCCACTAAAACGCAAAGTCCTAAATCACTATTTTCATGCAGCTGTTGTGAAACACCTCATATGTACCATTTAAAACCCAGTGCAATCATTTTGCCTCTAGCCTCAACCATTACCTAATATTATTAAGCATTCACTATGTTCAAGAGACAGGCGTTGTACCGAGAGCCGGAGAAAAGAAAGAAAAAACGACAGTAACGCCACAACCCAAAACTCACAAACCAAAATAACGGCATAAGACTAACCACTGAGTAGAAAAAGATGTTTTAATAGTAAAGCCCTTGGGGGCAGCGCTTACTCCCAAACACACAGATCTGTGCAGGGGTCTGGCATTTAGTAATCCCCACTACCCACCCTGCAGGCCTAGGTTGCAGAGCTGTACCTCCTGCGTCGCTTGTGTATGGGCGTTGCCACGTGACAGGCTCGGACCAATCAGCAGCCAGCAGGCCGCAGGTCTGCCATAAAAGCGCAGGCGCAGCCAGCAGGCGGCAGCCATTTAGACTAGAGCTGGTGGCGATCGAGGTCGGTCAGAGAGGAGAGAAACGCTGCCTTGACCCGCTGTCTTGTGCAAGCAGGAAGGGTCCATCAGTTAAAGTCTTTTTTTCTAAAAGGTAATAGAGATTCTACAAGTGGCTCCAAGCTAGCTGCCCGTCTTGTGGGACCCTGGGGAAGAACAACCGTTTTTCCCCTCTCCCCTCCCCCATTCACAATGGGCGACGAGCAAGGCAGTTGTGGGGAACCCGCCGAGGTGCGAGTGTGAAGCCCAGATGAGCTGTGACTCGCTTCCGTTTGACCTTACAAACTGTAAGCCGATGGACCCTTTTGTACCCTTCCCCATCCCCCACCCACCCCATGCTTGGTTTTTCTGCAAGGGTGGGGAGTAGAGGTGGGAAGGAAGGTTGGGGTGAGGTCCACAGAGGTGCACACTTGGACTGGATTGCTCTTGGGACTGTAAGCTGGGCATGGCAGAAGAGTTTAACTGACATCTGTGTTTAGTCTGTTGACTTTTGGGACAGAAAGGTTGTGCTCTTCGTTGATTTATTCATTCAGCTAACTTTATTAAATCTTCGGTACATGAAAAAAGCCTGCTGGGGGCTGTAGAATCAGAGGTGAGTCTGACCTCAAGTGCTGCCCTGTGAGTGAAATGTTTTGGAGGTATGGAGGAGTTTGTAGAGCATGGTGGCACAGTGAAGAATTGGGATTTTTGAGGGCGGATAGTGAGACAGGGTCGCGCTATGCATCCCAGTCTCGCCTCGAACTCATTGTGATCATGCGCCACCAACTTGGCTCAGAATTGTGAATTTTTGAGTGGCTGAGCCGATGTCAGCTTGAGTGGACCAGCAAGAGAAGAGCCAGGTGAGATGTACCGGGGGCATACGATAAAGTGTTAGGATGAGCCGGTTAGAACAATAGAGATGTGCCCCACACTGTCAGATTTTAGCCGGCGGTGGGCGGTGGGCGGCGGGGCTTGTGTCCAGAAAGTTCTCGGCAATGGAAAGCGGTTGACGGGTTTAGTTAAAGCAGGTATCAAACTGTGAAGGATAGTGGATTGGAGAATGCTCTCGCTCTATTTATTGATTTACTTTTATTATTTTTTTGAGTCAGGGTCTTGCTGTATAGTTCAGGCTGCCTCATTCACATGTTGCCCAGGCTAGCCTCGAGCTCAGCGGTGATCCTTCTGATTCAACCTCCCCAGTGCTGGGATTTTAGATGTGTGCCACCACACCCAGCTTAAAGAATGGTCCTGAACAAGAGTCAGAACATTACCATTACATTATGTGAGAAGTGACAAATGATTAAACAAAAGCAGAGGTTTGGGAGATGGAGAGTTTAATATCCAGAATATATAAATTTATATTTAGCATTCATTTGTATAAAGATATTTGTTAACTTGGAGTGGCTGAGATTTGCATAAGGAAAAGTATAAATTTATTTAGGAGGAGGATTTGAGACTGGGTCTCTCTATGTAGTTTAGGCTAGTCTTGAACTCATCGTGTAACCCGGGCTGGCCTTCACCTCATGGTGATCCTCCTGCCTCAGCCTGCCGAGTGCTGGGATTACAGGTGTGTGCTACCATGTCCAGTTGCTTTATAAGTTATAGAATTTGGAATATGGTATCCTGGAAACCAGAGTAGAGTTTTAAGAGAGTCACAATAATAGTCAAGTAGCATGTTACTGAAAGGCCAAGTAAGATTTGGAATCCACTGGACTTAATAACTAAACATGGTGAGTGTTAATCTAGTATGTGGGGAGTTTAAGTGGAATAGTGAGGAAAGCCGAGTGTAAATTGAGGAGTGAAGACAAAGTAGTTTTGCTGTATGCCCTGGTATGAGACAGAGGAGGTTGAGTCTACAAGCAAATAATAGATTAAGGGAAAATGTTAAGATTTGGAGCAATCAGAGTATTCAGTCCTGATTTTGCAGAGATTTGAATGGCATCATGAAAATTCCAGTCATCTGAAGTGAAGGAGTTTTAAGGAACTTGAGAAAGTGTATATAGAGAGAGGCTAGTATAGAAATGTTGAAAATAGCTCCAGAAGTGTGTATGTGTTGGTGCATACTTGTAATCCAAGCTACTTGGGAGGCTGAAGAAAGAGGGTAGAAAACTCATGGCCAGCAACTTGGGCAACAAGGCACTTTAGCAGCACTTCCTCAAAATTTTAAAAAAAAATTGCAAAAGTAGCTCAATGGTAGAATACTTGCCATGTGATTACCTGTTTGTTTTGTTTTGTTTTTTGTTTTTTAAGTTGAAGATAGAAAAAAGAAAAAGCAACGACCTTCACAAGTGAGTATTGTCTTAGTCTCAGGACTCAAGAGTTCTAGACAGGAAGGTTCCTCAGACTGAATGAGTAAAAGCATTGTCCCAGAGAGGACTCATATATAGACTATATAAAGGACTCAAAGAAATTAAACCCTCCCAAATTTAAAGGCCCAATCAAAGAATGGACATCTGGAGAATAGCTACCTCTCAGATAAAGAAGGACAGCCAATAAATAACATGAAAAAATATCCAACATCACTGAGAAATACAAATTAAACAACATGTAAATTCTATCTTACACCAGAAAGAATGGCTTTCAAGAAACGCACCATTTTCAAAGGCTAGTGAGGCTGCAGGGGAAAAAGGAATCCTTCATTTTTGGTCGGAAAGTAAACTGGTACAACCACTATGGAAATCAGTATGGAGATTCCTTAAAAAAACTAAAATTAGAGGTTCCATTTGATTCAGCTATTCCCTTTCTAGGTATCTTCCCAGAAGTATTAAAAATTGTACCACAGTGATACACGCATACCCATGTTTAAATAGCACAATTTATAATAGCTAAATCTTGACAATAGTCTATATGCCCATCAAAATGTATGAATGGATAAAGAAAATGTGATATTTATATAACTGGATGCAACTCGATACCATAATCTTAAATGCAATAAATCAGACAAAGTTTATCTCATTGTTTCTGTTGTGCAAGAAAACCAAAGTATATATAAGGAACAAAATGGGGGAGATACTAGGAAGTATAAAGAATTTGTTTAAATGGGAAGGGGAACAAGAAATGCGTGGGGGAGGGAAGGAAGGAAAATGGGTTTAAAGAAATAAAAGAATTGAAGGAAAAAGTAGTGCTTATTTGAAAGGGGAGGGAAGCAAGGGTTGGAGGGAGGGGAGAAGGACAAAAAAAGAATTAGGATGTGCTATGTACGCATACAAATCCCCCATGGTGAATGTGTTCATTATGCACTGCAAACATGTACTAATGAAGAAATAAATTTAAAAAAGCATTTTCTCAGAAGTTCATAGAAATATATCTGTATTTGTATATATTTTTATATATGCAATGATGTATTTACCAGGATATTCGATGGAAAATTGCTTACAATAGTTAAATGACAATAACCATATGTCCACATCCATATGATAATATACTATACAGTTAAATTAGCCAGGCAGATGGTACATGCCTGTAATCCCAGCACTCTGAGAGGCTGAAGCAGGAAGATTGAAAGTTTGAGCCCAGAGTGGGCTAATGATTTAGCCAGACCTTGTCTTAATAAAAAAGGGCTGGAAGCTGGGTGTGGTGGTACACTCCTGTAATCCCAGCACTTGGGAGGCTGAGGCAGGAGGATGCTGTGAGCTCGAGACCAGCCTGGGCTACATAGTGAGTTCCAGGTCAATCTCAACTACATAGTGAGACCCTGTCTCAAAAAACAAAAAGGGCTGGAGATGTGGCTCAGTGTAAAGGCTTGAGTTCAACCCCTAGAACTGGATAAAAAGAATTGGGCAGCGCCGGGCGTGGTGCACATGCCTGTAATCCCAGCACTCAGGAGGCTGAGTCAGGAAGATCACTGTGTGTTCAAGACCAGCCTGAGCTACATAGTGAATCCAGGTCATTCTCAATTACACAGTGAGACCCTGTCTCAAAAAACAAAAAACATAAAAGGGCAGCAATGTATGTGCTGTCCAGGGACATTTTCTAAGAAGTGCAAAAATACACATTTTTGTCTGTATACAAAATTTCTAAACAGTAGGAGAGACCTGGTTAGTTGGCAGATAAGGATGGGATGGTGTAAAATTTCTCTGTTTGCTATTTTCATCAAAATTTCATGCTATGTGGATCTTAAAATTCAAATAAACATTTTGTTTTTCTGGTTTGCCTTTTTTTGTTTTTTGTGTTAGAAATCCTTCAATTTTGCACCAAAAATCTCTCTGGAATTTCCAAAGTTATTTTGTAATGAGTTATTGATTGAACAAAAAGGATGTGGTTTTTGAGGCAACTTATTCGTAGAACTATGGGGCGATCTGACAAGGGGTTACTACACTATTGCACAATAATACTCAACTAAGAAAACCAGAACATTTCATAATCCTTTATGGAATATTGTCTTTGGTTGTTACTGCATACTATTCAATTCTTGACAGTAGATTCATCTACTTGTGATGTCTTTTTAGAATCATATCCATGTGCAAAAGTGTTTTCAAAGCAGAATAACAAAATGACAGCTCACTTTACACATAAATGGAGACACATAGGACAGGCAATAGATTATGTGAGATTGCTTGTATAATGTTATTTTTTATTGTGAGACAGGGTCTCTTAAAGTAGCTCAGTTGCTTAGGTTGGGCTTGAATTCTCCTGCCTCTGTGTTCCAGAGTGCTGAGGTTATAGGCATGTGCCAATGCCTGACTAAGTTATTTTTTTAAAAATTTAAAAATAAGAAACATTAAAATATTTTGAACATAAGGTGGAATAATTACAAAGAATACTTTGTAAATGGAAAAATTTCTTAATCTATTACTGTATATATTACCGTAGGTACTTAATCTATTACTTCATCTCACATTTGAAAGAAGGGCCTCCAGCCAAGGAATGCCACATATTCAACCCCGAGAAGATAATCAGATTATATAATATTAGCTATTGTGCCCAATGACAATTACCAGAAGTCTTTTTGTTCACTTTCAGTCTATCTTTCAGACTCTGTCATCGAATACATTAAGCTTATTAAAGTTTTCAGACAATACCATCATCGTCATTTTTGTTTTTCTGTGTAGATTTCTTCCTTCGGGCTTTTAAAACACATTAAAGATAGGCCCATTCACGCTAAGCTTTTTGAATATACATTTTCTTCCCTCCACAATCACCATACTATTATTACACCTGTCAAGAAGAATAATTACGTTTCCCTAAATTATCCCCAAAATGCCAGTTGTAACTGATCTTTCATTTGATATAGGACAAGTTGAATTTATTATGTTGTTTAATGTAGAATAGTTCCTCCAAAGAAGGCTGTGGCTAAGCATGGTAGTACACAGGAGCAAACCCAACCACACAGGAGCCTGAGGCAGGAGGCTTGCAAGTTCAAGCCTAGCCTGGACAACTGTCTCAAAAAAAAAAAAAAAAAAAAAAAAGTTGTCTCCAAGGTAGGGTGGCATGGCAGAGAGGCATCACAGAGGAGAAACAGTTCATGGAAAAGCAAGGTAAGCAGAAGGCAAAAAGCAAGAGACAAGCAACAACCATTTTTTCCCCTTTTATTTTATTAAGGCTACACACCCTTAGGGCAGGTAGTACTCACATCTACAATCTTAACATCGAATCCTTGATCCCAGCATAATGCATCCTAGATCCAGCCACCTCCAAAAAGGCCCACCTGTGACTGCATGAGACTTTAGGGGAACATCTAGGTACAATCCATAACCGGAAAGTTTTATTCATTTTTCATTTTGTTTTGTTTTTTGGTTGGTTGGTTTGAAGAAGGGTCTTCCTATGGAATTCAGTCTGGCCTTGAGCTCCCTATGTAGCCCAGGTGGACTTTAAACTTGAGGTGATTTTCTTGCCTCCACCTCCCAAGTGCTGGGATTACAGGCATGCACCACCATATCTAGCTTGGGAAGATATTTTTCAGGAAAAAAATTAAGGTACTGGCTACAGTATGTCTGTATGACAAGATACTAGCTGATATAATTACAGATAATTAAATGTGGAAAAGGAAAAAGGCAGAACAGAAAACATTGCATAGTCTTTTACTTTAAAATTGTTAATTAACAAATATACTTAATTAAAATATTTAATTGACATACACATTCAAAGTGTATGATGTGATTTCAAATATATTTATGCACATGATAGATTATCAAATTAAAACATTCACCATTATCCTGAGATACATTAGATCAGCGCATTTTATAACTGAAAGGTTGTGTCCTTTAATCAGAACCTCCTCTTTTTCCTCTATCTCCCAGCCCCTGACAGCATTCTACTCCATTTTTGTTGTTTATTTAAATCCAAGACCTTGTGCATGCTCAGTACATGTGCCCTATAACTGAGCTACATCCCCCACCTGGCTACCTTTTTTGAGTTTGACTTATTTAGATTTCATTATCGGATATTTACTTGCAAATATTTGCTTTCATTCTATAGGCTTCATTGTGTTGATTGCTTCCTTTGCTATATAGAAGCTTTTTTAGTTTTATGTAGTGCCATTTATTTATGCTTTTGTTGTCTGTGCTTATGGTGTCATAATAATCATCACCAAGGCCAGTGTCAAAGAATTTTCTCCTATTTTTGTAGAGCTTTATTACTTCAGAGCTTACATTCAAGTAATTCATTCTGTTAATTTTTATATATGGTGCAAAACGAGAGTTCAATTTCACTCATGTATGGATTTTCTGTTTTTTTAGCACCATTTTCTGAAGAGCCTTTCTCTCCATTGTGTATTTTTTGTCAAAGATTAGTTGACCTTACATACATGTGTTTATTTCTGAGTTCTCTGTTCTGTCCCATTGGTCCATGTCTGTTTTTATGTCAATATAATAAAAAATCTTAATAATATTTTTTATTAATAATGATTTTATAATGTAGTTTGAGAGCAGGAGAGGAAATGTGATACTCCAGCTTTGTGTGTTTGGTTTCTTTGGTTTTGGTTCTTGGTTTATTTGAGACAGGATCTCACTGTATATTCTAGACTAGCTTTGAATTCACTATGTAGTCCAGGCTGGCCTTTAACTAGCAGTAATCCTCCTGCCTCAGCCTCTGGAATGCTGCAATTACAGGCATGTGGCACCATACCTGACTCCAGTTTTATTTTAAGATTGTTTTGTTAGTGGGCATGGTGGTAGATGCTTATAATCCCAGCATTCTGGGAGGCTGAGGCAGGATTATAGCCAAGTTTGAAGACAGCCTGGGCAATTTAGTGAGTTCCTCTCTCAGTGAAAAATAAAAAAAAAGGGAGATGTGAAATGTTTGTATGTAGCTCAGTGGTAGAGCGCCCCTGGGTTTGATGCCCAGACCCACAATAAATAAATAATTAATTGATTGCTGGATTGCCTTTAGGATTCTTTTTTCTATTTCTGTGTGATTCTTATTTCTTTTTCTATTTCTGCTATTGGAATTTTGATAGAGATTACATTGAATTTTTAGATCACTTTGGATAGTATGAATATTTTCACAGTATTAATTCATCCAGTCATTGAACACGAGTATCTTTCATTTAATTGTATTTTCTTCAGTTTTTTTCATCCGTTGTAGATTTCAATGTACAGATCTTTAGGCTCCTTGTTAATTTTATCCCAAAGCATTTTATTTTATTATAGTTTTTGCAGTGTTAAAGAGCAAATCCAAGGCCCCGTATGTGCTAGATAAGTGCTCTACCTGAGCTGTACCACAGATGTGCTTTTTAGATAGTTTGGTTGTATGTATAGAAATGAAACTGACTTTTTTATTATGTTGATTTTTGTATCCTGTAACTATTGAATCTGTTCATTGGTTCTAAAAGTTTCTTAGTAAAATCTTTAAGGGTTTTAAAGTATGTATTTTATCAACAGATAACACTCTCCAATTTGGATTTTCTTTTTGTGGTTTTTGTCTCAGTAGTATCGTTGTCTGGTAAAAATATGCTGGGGGGAAGAGAAGGAGCGAGAATGATGGGAGCTAAAGTCAGATTAGTTGACGATCCCCTCTCTTACCTGGACTACTTCAGAAGCCCCTTACTTGCCTGTTCCAGTCCTGCTCTCTTCAGTCTTTCCTTGACCTGCATTTAGAGAATAAAATTTAAGTTCTTACTGTTGCGAAGAAGTCTATGTAATCTAGCCACTGTCTGCTTTTTTTTTTTATGCTACTCTCCCTTGTTGAGATCCTGTCTCAAAAAACAAACTACTTTCTCCTTTCCTATACTCTGCCATTAAGCATACAAAGTCTGTTCCTATCTACTTCAGTTTTTTCTTCCTTGAAACCTATCTAGAGTATCACTTTAAACAAATTTGTTATATGTAAGAACTTAAAGCTGAATCATTCTTTTTCCTCCTCCCTCTCTTGTTCCTTCCCTCTTTCTTTCTCTGAGTTTAATTTTACTTTCATTTTTACTGTTAACATTTGGTGCTAGGATCTTGCTCATACTAAGCATACTCTACTATTGAGCTACACTCCCAGTAACTGTGAAATGTTTGTATATATGTATGTTATGCATGCATGTATGCATGTATTCTGGTATTGGAGATTGAATTTATGGCCTCCACATGAGCAGTGAGCTATATCCTAGACCAGAGATGGTGAATCTTTTAGAGCTTTCAAGGATACAAACAGCCACTGTGATTCATGTGCCCATCGGTTCACCACCACTGCCCTAGATCTATTTTTGAGACAGGCTGGAACCTGGTATTATAGGGATGTGCCATTGTTCCTAGCTGAATTGAGTTTTTTTAAAGTCACTTTATTTAAATTAGCCAGGAAAGACAAAAAGAAGAGAAAAATTAGCCAGAAAATCCTTTACTTTTCTCCATTAAGTTAAAATTGTAGGATATTTGTACGCTAATGATATGCTTAACAATCCTTGCTTTTTCTTGTTTTTGTTTTGTTTTTTTTTTTTTTTTGGTACTGGGGATCGAACTCAGGACCTTGCGCTTGCAAGGCAGGCAGCGGAACCTCTGAGCTAAATCCCCAGCCCCCTTGCTGTTTCTTTAACCAAGAATTTATACTTTTCCTACTAAGACCTCAGTTTGTGTTTTGAAAGGCAGAGAAATTTTCTGTGAACTGTTGAAGTAATTTAAACCATTTTAAGACTGAAATACACATAAATGAAACAACTTATATTACTTATTTTAACAAGGTTGGTATTTGTTTAAAATTTAATTTGTTGTTTTACCCCTTTTTTCCTGTGTTAAGTGTGTTTTAAATATGGTGTCTTTTTCTTTGTAGTTCCTGTGAGAACCATTTTTAGTCTAACTGGCTAGCCATGGAGTGGTGCATCCTGTGATGGTAGCTACCTGGGTGGGTGAGGCAGGAGAATCACTAGTTTCAGGCCAGTCTGGGCAACTTAGTTAGACCTTAGCTGAAAACAAATATATAAAAATGGCTGGGGATTTAGCTCAGTGCTGTCTGAGTTCAATCTCAAGTACCACAAACAAAAAAATTTTAAGGTGTTTCTAAAGTACTCATTTCTTCTTTTTCAGGACATAGAGAATTAGAGTATCCAGATTTGAAGTAGTTAACAATGTCCCTGCCAAGTCGACAAACAGCTATTGTTAACCCACCTCCACCAGAATATATAAATACTAAGAAAAATGGGCGACTAACGAATCAACTGCAGTATCTACAAAAAGTTGTCCTAAAAGCTTTATGGAAACATGCTTTTTCTTGGCCTTTTCAACACCCTGTAGATGCTGTGAAACTGAAGTTACCTGTAAGTATGTCTCAGGTCAATTTAAGAAATAACCAGTCTCTAACATTTTATATATATATATACATATACATATATGTATATGTATATATGTGTGTGTGTGTGTGTGTGTGTGTATTTATATACACAGGCACACATATACTTTTACTTACATTTATTTTATGCTGAATTTAACCTCAGGTAATGTTATTGTTCATTTCCTTCTGTGATATCTTTTTCTGTGAAAGATACAGGTCTAGTTTTAATCTTTAGCATGTGGAAAGCCAGTTTTCCCAGCACCATTTATAAAAGAGGCTATCTTTCTTCCAGTTAAGGTGTTTGGCTTTTTGTCAAAGATAAGGTGGCTGAGTATGTTTGGAATTGTTTCTGCATCTTCTGATCTGTTACAGTGATCCTCAGGTCTGTTTTTTTGCCAGTACCATGCCAGGGTTTTTGCTTTGTAGTATAATATCAAGTCAGGGATTGTGATGCCACCTTCCTTGCCTTTGTTACCCAGAATAGCTTTTTGTTGTTATTGTTGCCCAGACCTATTCTAAGACTCTTCTGGTTCCAAATGAATTTTAGGATTGTTTTCTCTAATTCTGTGAGATGTGCTATTGGGATTTTGATCGGCATTGCATTAAATCTGTATAACAATGTTGGAAATATGGTCATTTTCAACTAAGAACAAGAAATATCTTTCCATTTCCTGATATCCCTCTTCAATTTCCCTTTTCAGAGTACTATAGTTTTCAGTGTAAAGGTTTATTACTTCCTTTGTTAGATTGATTCCTAGGAATTTTCATTTTTTTAAATGGTATTGTGTAAGGTATGGTTTCCCTAATTTGTCTCAGCGAGTTTGTTGTGTTCAGGAATGCTACTGATTCTTCTTTTTTTTAAATTAATTAATTTTATTGATACATTTAAGGTATACAGTGTAATGACATTTATTGGAAATTTCATAATCCATCTTGGTTCTTATTTTTCCCCATTCTCCTGCCCTCCCTTCAACCTCTCCACCCTCCCCATCTATAAATAAAGACTTTGTTTCCATTTTTCCTTTTTCCCATGTTAATTACATTCCCATCTTTCTTTCCCCATACCCCTCCCATTTCCCCTTCTCCTTTGCACCTTTTCTTCCTATTTCAGCTTTTAGAATATTGGTTCTTGAGTGTTGACTTTGTACCCAGCTATACTGAATTTGGTTATTAAATCTAAAAGTCTTTTGTTGGACTTTTGGGGGTTTTCTATGTAGAGTATCATGTCATCAGCAAATAAGGATCATTTAACTTCTTCCTTTCCTATCCATATTACTTTTATTTCTTTCTCTTGTCTAATTGCTCTGGTTAATCTTTGCAGAACTATATTGAACAGGAGTGGTGGGAGTGGGCATACTTGCCTTCTTCCTGATTTTAAAGTGAAAGCTTTCAATTTTTGTCCATTTAGAATGATGTTGGCTGTTGGTTTGTCACAGGTGGCTTTTATCAGATTGAGATAAAGACCATTGACTCAAATTTTCTGTAGGGTTTTTGTCATGAATGGGTGTTGGACTTTGTCAAACACTTTTTCTACATCTATTGAGATGATCATATGGTTTGTGTCCTTGGCTCTGTTAATATAGTGTATACATTTATTGATTTGGACCATCCCTGAATTCCTGGGATAAAGCCCCCTTGGTTGTGGTGTATAATCTTTTTGATGATCTGTTGTGTTCTGTTTGCCAGTGTATTATTTAGGATTTTTGCATCTATGTTGATTAGGGAGATTGGTCTGTAGTTTTGTTTTGTGGCTGGTTCCTTTTCTGGGTTTAGTATCAGGGTATGCTTGCTTCCAGGAATGACTTTGAGAGTATTGCTTCCGTTTGAATTTCATTAACGAGTTGGAGGAGTAGCAACATTAGGTCTTCTCTAAATTTGTTGTAGAATTCAGCAGTGAATCTGTCAGGGCCTGGGCTTTTCTTCATTGGTAGGTTTTTAATTACTTCTTCAATTTCATTAACTGATACTGGGCTGTTTAGAATTTTTATATCTTCGTGATTCAGCTTTGGTAATTCATGTGTATCTAGTTTTCTGTTCGTTTCTTCTGTTTTCCATCTTACTCAAATATAGGCTTTCGAAGTAAGTATTCATGATCTTCTGCATTTCTTCTGGATCTATTTTGATTTCACCCTTTTCCTAATTGTATGAATTTGAGCCTTTCTTTTTTATGATAAGGTTGACTAAGGGATTGTCAGTTTTAATCTTTCAAAGAACAAACTCTTTGATTCAATGATTCTTTGTATTGTTTTCTTAGTCTCCATTGCATTGATTGCTGCTCTAATCGTTATAATTTCTTCCCTGGTATGAGCTTTGGGTTTAACTTGCTCTTCTTTTTCGAGAAGTTTGAGGTTGATTATTTGAGCTCGTTCTGTTTTTCTAATATGGGAATTTACCGCTGTAAATTTCCCTCATAGGACCTTTTTCATTTCATCCCATAATTTCTAGTATATTGTATTAGTATTATCATTTAATTATAGAAACTGTCAGATTTCTTCTTTAATTTCATCGGTGACCTGTTGGTTGTTTAGGAGGGTGTTAATTTCCATGTGTTTCTGAAGTTTTTGTGGTTTCTTTTGCTATTGATTTCTAATTTAATTGCACTGTGGTTTGATAATATGCATGGGATAATTTCAGTTCCTTTGCATTTACTGAAGCATGTTCTGTGAGCTAGTAAGTGGTCTGTTTTCAAGAACATCCTGTGTGCGGCAGAGAAGAATGTATATTCTGTTATTTTGGTGTAGTACACTCTATAGACATCTACTAAGTCTATTTGTTTAAAAATTTGGTACTGTTCTGATATTTGCTGGTTTTTTTAATCTCCTGATCCATCTATTTGTGACAGTGGAGTGTTAAGGACCTACATTACAACTATATTAGTGCTTATTTGATTTTTCATGTCTGTTAATATTTGTTTGATATAATTGGGTGCATTGGTATTTGGTACCTATATATTTGATTGTTATCTCCTCCTCTTGGATTGTTCCTTTTACAAGGATGTAGTGACCTTCTTTGTCTCTGTTAATCAGTCTTGGCTTAAAATCTACTGTGTCTGCAAACAGAATAGCTACCCCCGATTTTTTCTGGGTTCCTAACATGTGTTTTCCATCCTTTGACTTTCAGTGTATGAATTTCTTTTTGAATTAAATGTGTTTCTTGTATGCAGCATATTATTGCATATTGTTTCTGGATCCAGTCTGCCAGTCTCTTCTGATTGGTGAATATAGATCATTTACATTGATAGATATAACTGAAATATATTGGCTTATATTTGTCATGTTATTTTCTTGCTCTTGGTTCCCTCTGTTCAGTTGCTTGCCCTCTCTGGTAGTATTCATGGAGTTGTAGTCCTTATTATCTCTTTCTAGAATGTCCTTCAGAACATTGGTGAAGTGCTGGTTTGTTGGTCATGGATTTCTTTAGGTGTTCTTTGTCTTGGAAGTACCTTATTTTTCCATCAGTTTTGAAAGGTAGTTTTTCAGTATACATCAGTCTGGGGTGGAGGATTTTTGGTTTTTGGTTTTTTAAGGCTTGAAATACTTCATGCCAAGCTCTCCTTGACTTGAGGATTTGCATTGAGAAGCCTGCTGTGATTCTGATGGGCTTTCCTTTATAGGCCATTTCTTTTCTCTAACAGCTTTCACTATTCTATTCTTGTGCTGAATTTCTGGAATCGTGATAATTATATTCCTTGGTGTAAATTTATTTTGGTTATAGCTCATTGAAGTTCTGCATGCCTCACTTATTTGTGTGTCAAATTCTTTTTCCATGTTTTGGAAGTCCTCTGCCATTATGCTTTAAACAGGCTTGTATGGCATTTGCATCTATAACTCTCTCATTGACCCCAGTCAATTGTATATTGTTGTTCTTTGCATCCTCTTGCAATTATTGGATTGATTTTTCGTGATCCCTTGCCATTTTTAAGATATCTTTCTTTTCATGGTCATTAACTGCCTTCATTCCTGCCTTCTAGTTCAGAAATTCTGTCCTCCAATCTATTGCTTATACTTTCAGTGGAATTTTTAAATTTCCTGGATATCTTTTTTAATCTATTTCATGAATTCCATTTCTTTCCTATATTGAACATTAATGATTTCCATCGTTTTTCCAAGTTTTCTAGTTTTTAATTTGTGTCTACTCTGGACTCATCAAGCACGCCATTCATTTTGAGCATTTTTTTTTTAACCTGAGAGTTTATTTTTCTCTGTTATTTCATGCATCTGTTTTACTTCTGCTTCTGTCATCTCAGAAAATTCAGGTGGATGACTTCTGATTTCCTCTATCTTCATGTCTCTTGCAGTTGTCATAGGTAGGCTGGCGGTCTGGGATTGCATTTTGCTTCTGCATCTTGTCATTGTCTTTCTTCCATTTTGTTTTCTGTGTTGATGCTTGTAAATTTCTTATGGCAGATAGGTTTATCACTAGTATCAAGGCTCCCATCAGAAATGTCTATTTCTCAGAGATATCTTCTGGGCTTATGTGGTTCTTGGTCTTTGTGTCTGTCCCAAGAGCCTACCTTCCCAAATTTATTAAGGATCAGAAGTTGCTGTTTATTTGGTAACTGGATTGTGGTGATGGTTATGGCCCCAGACAATCTCAATATTGTCATACAAGGGAGAACAACTAATTACAACAGGTAGAACATCCTGACTAAGTACAATAAGTAATATCAATAGCCTCAAGCACAGCCTAGAAACTGACAAATTGTGGTAACTATTAATTTGGTATCTTTAACCATAAAAGAAAGTTCTATAGTTCTATAACAATCCAGCATAAACCAGGAGCTTATATGCAATGAGTTTCCCTTTAGTGGAGAGAATTTACCTTCAGGGGGACATTTAAGAGAGACTTGGGGAAAAACAGAGACAAATGAAGGGAAATGCAGTAGAAGCAAGACTGGAAGACAACAGATAATCACCCAAATATGGGTAACTGGAGAAAAGGACAGGAAAGAAAGCGTGAAGGATAAAAGCCAAAGAATATCGAAGT